ATTACTTTACTCTTCCCTTGTGTCAAGAATTTCTAACCTTGAGCACGTCCTGTTGTTTGATGCTGCACAGTGGGCCTCTGGGATGAGTATCAGTATTCAATGATGCAGTATTAGATCTTTGCTTTTAGTCTCAAGCTTTTAGTTTCTCAAATCTTGCAGTATTATGCTCGAGTTTGTACTTCCTCTTGAAAGTCTACTTCACATCAAATACTGCAAGCTTTTCTAGCTCCATGCAGTTAAGTAGGACCAAATGACTTATACTGGTCAATGGGCTATGAGTAGAATGATGTATGTCACTTCTAGGAGTGACTGAGAGGTCTCATGTATACATTTCCCCCACCATGGTAGCTTTCGAAGTGATAGAACTTTCCTGAGTTTGTGGAGTAGAGATCTTCTCTTGCCCTATACCTAATCTCCCTACCAACCTAGCATCGAACCTCCCTGACAAATTAAACTTTGTTGTATTAAGCCTCTGAGATCTTTGGGTTTATTTATTATTGAAGCATAGCCTATTATGTCCTGGAAGTGAAGTGCTGAATTAAAAAATAAATTGTGTAGTGTTGAGTTTGTGGTTGGCAACATGTGGTTAGGAAGCTGGCATCAAAGGTAGGAAAGATAGCAATTTGTGATGCGCAGTTATAAAACATTTGGTAAAATTGTTAACTGCCATAACTTAAAAGTAAGTTATTCCATATTCCAATATATGGAATCAGTCTAAGTGTCTATCGACAAGTAAATGGGTTTTTAAAAAGTAGTATATGGACACAATGGAATACTATTTAGCCATAATGAAGAAAGAAATCCTGTCATTCGTGGCAACATAGATAAACCTGAAGGACATAATGTTAAGTGAAATAAGTCAGGCAAAGAAAGAAAAATACATGGTCTCATCCATCTGTGGAATCTAAAGAGTTGTTATGGAAGTAGAAAGTAGAATCGTGGTTATCACAGGGTGGAGAGGGTAGGACAATGAGGGATTGGCCACAGATGCAAAATTACAGTTAGAAAGGAGGAATAAGTTCTGGTGTTCCACCATTATAGCAGGATGACTAGGGTTAACAAAAATGTATTGTATATTTCAAAATAGAAGATAAGTTTTTGAATGTTTTCATCACAAAGGAAAAAATAAATGTCTAATGTGACAAATGTACTAATTACACTGATTTTGTCATTACACAATGAATAAATGTATCAAAACATCCTATTGTACATCATAAATGTATATAATTATTATGTGTCAATCATACAAAAATATTGTATACTTAAAGAATTCACATTTTTAGTGAGAAGTGGGTAAAACCCAAAATGTCAGTAGTGTGTCTTAGTTATTACTTGCTGCTTTTGTAAGATAATAAGCAAAGAAAAGCCTGGTTTTTAAAGTGGAAATAAAGAAAAATAGATACTTCCAGAATCCAAGGTCTTGCCATGTTGGAAAATCCAATCCATTTTTGCTCCGAAAAGAAAGAGATGAAATTAAGTAAGCATTTGAGGCAAAGTCTTTTAAAACTAAATATTTTTGCCAAGAGTCAGATTAAGGGTGTGAACTTCATGTCTACTTAAAATCTTGCAGTGGTTTAGAATGTCTCAAGGAAGGGATCAAGGTAAAGGATCTGGCCTTACCATTTGCTACTCCAGAGAGACTCACATAAATCATGAAAGATATAGAGGTGAAAAAGCAAATAAATATAGCAGATCTAAACTCTGTGCCTCCAGAGACCTATGGTGTGGCTACTGGAATAGGAAACTGATTAAGTCAGATGGAAGTTGCACCTCTAAGGTCTTCAGAGAGTTATACTTCCAAGGAAACTATGAGGTTGGAGTTAAAAAAAAAAAAAGTCTATGGAGCCTTAGAGAATTAAAATAAGCCTTTGACTTCCAATCATCTATGGGAAGAAAGTAAGTCCAAAGTAGCACATCCCTCAGGAATGTATGTTTCTAAATATTGTAAAGAATGCCTCATCCTAAACACTGGTTTGCACCTGCCTTACTTGGGAAATTGGCTAGATATGAACTTAGATTTTATGCTTTTTTTTTTTTTTAAGGTAGAGTCTCACTCTGTCGCCAGGCTGTAGTGCAGTGGCATGATCTCGGCTCATTGCAATCTCTAATTCCCTGGTTCAAGCGATTCTCGTCCCTCAGCCTCCTGAGTAGCTGGGATTACAGGCACTCGCCACCATGCCCAACTAATTTTTGTATTTTTAGTGGAGACGGGGTTTCACCATGTTGGCCAGGATGGCCTTGATCTCCTGACCTCATGATCTACCCACTTTGACTTTGTATAAGCAGCCATGCCCAGCTGGTTTTACACTTTTTAATGTCATTCCAAAGGACACTGGGCTACTTTGATAGGCATATGGGTCCCTTGCACAGAACAGATTAGAATATAATCATTCAATAAGTTCCTTTCCTTCACTTACCCTGATTGACATTGTGCTGATGTTTTGCATGTTATTTAACTTCTGCTCAATCTCCATTTCAGCTCTGCACATGAAAATTGCCTACATATTTGTTTGCCAGGGTTCCTCCCTCCATGGACTCCTTTGTGCATAAACAGTCACTGACAAGGGTAAAGGCCCGGCTGGCTTACAAGCATCTTTTATGTTGCCTGACCTTGCTCCTGGCACACCCCACTTAGTTACTCATTTCTGTACTCCAGTAAAGGGCACTATTAGTGTTGGGTTTGCTTTGATTTAGGTTTGAGTACGTGGAGAGTGCCTTCTGTGTGTTGACCAGTGATAGGTAAAGTCTCTATCCACATGAGGGTGCACTGAAGTTGAGTCCAGGAGTAATGGTTTTAATATCCAGAGAAATACCAATGTTCATGAAGGAGGTGTTAGGATGATTTTACAATAGTGAAACAGCACATTGTTGAACACTTGACTAGCATAGATGTTTAAGAGCCAAGAAAATGTGTGAGGAGTAATGTCAAACTGTAGAAGTAAGAATATTCTAGTTAACTGGACCACATTTTGTCTTCCCTGTAGTTTTTTAGCACATAAGACATTGTTATTAATATTTCTATTATCTAATGTGCAGGCCACTTTAATAAGTTTAAGTTTGAATTAGTCAAGATAGGCTAGGTAATGCTGGAAGAACAAATTAACTCTGCAGCCCCAGTGACTTCTCATAAAAATGGCCTCTTCTTTGTTCACAGTGGGAATGGAAATTTGGAATGAAGACGGGGGCTAGATGAGATGGTGTTCCACTTAGTCACCCAGGGACTAAGTAAGAAATTGTTATAGCCCATGGCCAGAGTAAGCCCATGGCCCTGCCCATATGTAATAGGGCTGGGAAGTGTGGGCAAGCATCAGGATGTAGATAATCAGTTAATATTTCTGCAATAATCTGCTCTTGTGGCTACCAAAAACATCTTAGCCCCTATGGAGCCACAGAACATAGAACTTACCACCCATACATCACACCCAACCCATCTCCAAAAATTTCTTCACTTGCTGCAACCATTTCTCAGTTTCAGATCTCTAAGTTTTAGGTGGTTGTCTTATCTCTACATCATATCCAGATGTGTGGAGTCTCTCATTCTGGAGATGTATAAACCAAGAACTATGTTGTCCCAGGCATACTTCTAAGTGCTTGGAAAGCAGTAGTGAGCAAACAGATAAATTATCTGCCACATGGTAGTCACATTCTATCAGAGAGAATGGCTAAACAAATAAGTAAATATATAATACTATGTCAGAGGTTGGAAGAATTCTGATGACTTTAAAGTGTTTGAAATATATGATAGAAAGATTGCTTTAAAATATTTCGTAAGTTTTCTAACATTTGATTAATGTGAAAACTTCAAGCAAATACAAATAAAGTCATGTTACCTTGGCAAAAAGAATATTTACCCATAATGATCTAATTCATTTGAAAACTGGGGGAAAATAGAAATGCTCTAGGTGGTATCTTGCTTTTCTTAATTTAACACTTTGTAAGCATTTCTTTTTTGGCCTTAAACAGTTTTCAAAAATATATTTAATAGCTATAAACATTACAGGCTATATAAATAATGCTTTTTTATTTTTGACAACTTATATGATCATAAATGAAACTTATACACATAAATCTTTGCATATTTGAATATATCCCTAGCATAAGGTACTAGAAGTGAAGTTAGTGGATCTAAATGGCATGTAAATTTATGATGCTGGATATATGTTATGAAATAGATTTGTGAAAATATTATGCTTTCTCACTATTATTCCAATAATATGAGATATGTATATTTAAAACTTTAGCCCAAACTGCCGTATTAAACTGCATATTTCCATTTACAAGTGAGATTGATATTAAAAATGTGTTTATTATGCGTTCCCATTTCTTCTGTGAATTATTTGCCATTTAACATTCATCCTTTTTTTCTAAAAGGCTGTTAGTGTTTTTTCTTTTATGTGATACTTTGTGTATGAAACATCTACTTGCTACAATTTCTTAAAGTGGTAATTTGTATTTACTTTTTTAGATTTTGACGTTCAGAAGTGTCTTTATACATTCAAGCTTAGTGATCTTTTTCTTTGTTTTCTATTCCTCTTGTGCTTTGAAAACCTTCCCTATTTTGAGATCAGTAAAATATTTCTGTTCTTCTAGTCAGTATTTTTAAATTATATGTTTTTGATAAAAACATCTATATGTAATTTATTTTGATGAAATGAGACTTTGATCTGAGTCTTTTCAGATAGTTTATTTTCTTAACACCACTTGTTAGTAAAATAATTTATCCTTTTTTTCTATAGGGTTGTGATACTTTCTTATCTGTCAGTTTTACACACACACACACACACACACACACACACGTGTCTGCTTTTGCGCTTTCATTAATGCGTTTGAAGATTCTATTTTTAAGGTTGTGTTGTGAGTGATGGCTCCGGTACTTTTTGGCCCAGATGTTAACAAAATTACAAATAATTCTTGGTAGGTTTCGACGGAACCAGGGAGGGCTGTGGTACGGAGGCATTTAGGACCCAGGGGAAAGCTAGGCTCGGTATAGAAGGACAGAGATCGGGCGCACACGCCTCCTACCAAAATCACAGCCCCGTGTGGAGCCCAAGCTCTCATTCACAGCTTTCTAGAGAAATCTGAGCCCGAACCTGCCAGAATAGGGGACCTCACCCACCCAGTTCAGCAGCGAGGACACCTGCAGAAATACATTCCCAAAGCAAGGCTGGGCGGCCGTGTGAAGGTATTTGTTGCCTTTTTTCTCCCCTCTGTATTTGCAGAGCCTCCCTGCCTTTCCCCCTCTTGCGCGATGCCATGGCTGCGGCGTTTCAGCACTTCGGTATGTGGACAGCTCCCACCTGCAATCCCTCTGCACTCCATCCCTTCCGCACCCCGCTCCCCGCCGCCTCCGCGGTCCACCCTCCTCCCGGCGCCCGCTCAGCCTGCGCCCCCTTACACCATCAGCACCCCCATCCCCACCATCACCGTCATCATCGCCACCATCACTAGCGCGGTAACTACAGTCACACAACTGTGTCTTGCCACTTAGACAAAGCCCAAGGTCCGCAGGGTAGAGGGAAAGAGCTCAAGTTGACAGACATAGGAAGGAAAGTTCAGGTGAACGAACCCCAGAAAACAAAGAGAGACGCCTGTTTGAGAGAAACGGAAAGTGAAGGCAGGAGGGAGAGACCCCAGGCAAGGGGACAGATGGGGCACTTGCCAGACACCAGCAGTTAGCCAGCTGCCTTTCAGCAGATTAGAGACTGTTTAGTTGAGGAAATTAACATGGCCTACGGCATAATGTGATTCCAGAAAAATAGAAATGTAAGCTCAACCTGTTTCTGGTTTTCCGATGGAGAATCACCAGGAAGCAGGGTGGGGGTGACTGATGACTCATATTCACCCACACGTCCATTTCCCTTCCTAAGTGTTTAATGCAGAAACTCTGGAATTAAGTTTTTTTTTTTTTTAAGCTAAAATGTTTTGTAAAATAGGGACCCCAAAGGTTAACTGTGGCCATAATAAAAATAAAATGGTGATAATGATAGCCTAAGAAAGGGAGCTCTCATTCAAATGAACTATTTTTTCCAATGTTTCTTTCTGTCTACTTATTTCAATTTTCCAATCTTAAACCTCTCTTTGAAGCAAAGAAGATAGATCCCTTGCCCAAATGGCCAAAGTAGTAATGATATTCATAGCAGATGGCCTTGCTTTTGTTCATCACTAGTCAAGGACTGGCTCAGATTTGGAAGGCGAGATTTTTATGTGCTTTCTCAGTAATCAGGTGATAACACCATTTTCCTATAATAGTAAAGGGTAATAGAGTGCAAAAATTGAAAAGGCATTTTATGTAACTCTGTTTTGCCAGACTCTGCTTTTAGAGTGCTATCATTTTCTATCTCGGCTGAAGGGAAGTTGGAACATCTTTCAAATGTCTGATTAATTTGAACCCGAAAGTCTAAGCCCAAGTCACAGTGCCTATTTGATTTAGCCAGGATCATCTGTTTTATAAGAGCTAACAAGCACCAGCAAATAAGTGCCTGAGCCTGTCATAAAGTAAAAATTTTTGCTGGGTGCTCATTTAATTGATTTTTACTGAGCAATAAAGCATCGGGATTTTTTGACAAGTTATTTTTTATGAAATTAAATGAGGTTATTTAAATGGGAATGATAGGTCACATGTGTCAAGAAAGTTTAAACTAGAGCACAGAAAAGCTTAATTTTAAAATTGCCCTTGTGCATTTGTTCTGTTTCTTAAAGACAGTGAAGCAAGTTTCATCTAAACCAGCTTGCTCACCATTATAGGCACCATCAAAAATAAAGACATTCACAAATATGAATCTTCCGGAAGAAGTTTTGAGGAAGAATTCATATGTAATTCTCTTTAAGAATGAGGAATTGTAGCATTGTGTCAAATGTTAATTACTGCTACTAATTATTTAGATGTAATTCCACCTGCCTCTAAAATTCATTTACTTTTGAATCCCAAACAAGAGAACCAGCAAAATTTGTGGTGAAATGGATTTTACAGAAGAAAATTTGGTCATTCACATAATGTTCCTTGGTTTGGTAATATCCACAGTAAACAAGACCTCTTAAAAGTCCATGAAAAAGGAGATTCTTAAAACTCCCTTTTCTGTCTGCAAAGAATGGTTCAGCTCAGACATTTTTTAAAAGTGTACATGTTGCCAATTCTAGCTGCTTCACACCAGAAATGCAGGCCAGGAATCCAGTGCCTCTAGAGCTTCTCTTTTCCTGTGCTTAATACAATCTCTTGGGGCTGGGGAAATTTTAAAACAATGCTGTTTCAGTGAGATGTACAGGCATCTGTCTGTAAGCAATGACTTTTCCTGACTGAAATGTTATGCTGAGCTTATTAATTTTTATAGAATGCCAGTATCCTGGCTTCCTTACTTAAATGTTTTCTATTGAGAGCTATTTTGCCTTTAAAAATATTTTCAATAACAGAAATCACGCATTTTTGTAATGAATTTAAAGGTAAACAGAAAACGTTTTTCCAGCAGAGTGTCATCCTATATTTTTGTAGACAGGCTCATAGAAAAGTGCATCATTTTAGAATTGCATAGTACAAAGCTGGAAGATCTTTCATTTCCCAAAAGGCAAAGTCTTGAACTCTTCAGAATTGACAGTGCCTGCTCACTTCTGAAGGTTTTGTTTTTTAAACAAAGAAAGGCACTTTATTATCCCTCAGAAGTCTATTTACAACTTTACATACTCCCTGATAGCAGAGTCTTCCGTCCTTAGTAAATGGATCCAGGCTGACTTTGATCTTCTCTACTGTTCCCGTTACACAGTGACTCAGACAGAGGAGGCAGCACAGGAGAATGAGCATACAAAATATAAAGCTTGACTGTATGCACTCAGTCCAGAAATACGTCCTCAACATTGCCAAGAGACACCTTCTTTTCGACCTTCTCCCAAATGTTGCTTGTTTTGATTACTGTTCATTTTATCCAGATATTACTGGAATAAAGTTGTTTCAGGAGAAGGTCCACAGTGTGAATTTTGACAATTCTGCAACCTCTAACTGATGTTGTATCTCTTTATTGAAACTATGCCTTAATTGCCAGTCTAAGTTTTTCTTAGCTTAAGGGAACTTTATGTTCTTTTGCTTGATTCTTTATGGATTGAAAATGAACTGGTCAAATATCCCCTGCCCCATAAAAAGCTTTCATTTATTTAGATAATAAGTTCATTATTCTTCCCTATCTCTGATGCCTCCCACAGCCCTTTTTTATATCTTCTCAGGTCAGGTTGCCCTAGGCTCTCTAGCTTTATGCACCTGTTCTGTGACAGGGATTATCAGAGAAAGTTTTCCTTGTGGTAGGCTAATTTCCTGTGTGCTTTCCTGCTTCCTGAGCCAGCAGAAATTTCTCCACATATGTTTGAGATGCTCTGCTCTTGTTTCCAGGATGCTTTTAGCCAAATCTCCAGTTCCCGAATATTGTGCATACCACTGATGACTCCTTTTCCATCTATGCTTCTTAAATAGTATCAAAGGTCTTAGGCAAAGTTCCATACATTTATGTGTGTCATTTACATAGCTTATTCAATGTTCATTATTTTATAGTTTTGGAGGAAGTAGGAGGCAAGTTATGGGCCTGGGAATAGTGTGATGGGGGTGGATGTTAAATTACAGGAACCATACATAAAAACCTTCTTTAACGTGTGGTCAAAACAAAATAAACAAAACATGTAAGATGTTTCTCATTTCTTTTTCTCTTCTCCGCTGCTTCTTTCCCTCCCTCTCTCTAAATTTTCCTCTTTTTCTCCCTTTCTTCTTTTGTGGTTGATATATAGAGCATGCAAACATAGTGAGAGTAATTAACTGGGTGATCCGATAAGCTATTATGAGTGTCATTGCTCCTTAGGTAAAGAACACATTTTGGGTGCTTTTATGTTCCTCTTGGACAGTATAGTAGGGCTGTCCACAGACAGTGTGAGTTCTGGCCTCAGAGGCAATTAACCTACCTCTCAACCCCTCTGGGTCATTATAAATCCTTCAGACCAGCTTTTCTCAAACATTAATTTGCACGGAAATTGCCTGGGGATTCTGTTACCCATTCAGGAGGCCTAGGTAAGTCCTGACACGCTGTCGCTAACAAGCTTCTGGGTGCTGCTGCCATTGCTGATGTGTGGACTACCCTTTGAGAAGCAAGGGCAGAGAAAAGTTTTCTTTTTAAACATTCTCACTTTTATATCTGACTATTAAATAATGACACTCATTCTAAAACAAAACAAAAACCACCCATGCTCTGAGGCAATAAGAGCTCAGAATTTCTATTTCTAATTGAGGAGAAAGTTATAAAAATAGCCTCTTTCCTCTCACCTCACTCTTAAGCTTGCTCCTGTGCTTTACTTTTCCAAGGCAGTTTTCTTAGCTGTGATTCCTGCTGCTGCCATTGCCTGTGCAGTCACATCCAGAAGGGTCACAGTTACATGGATCTGCTGGGAAAACATTTAGTAGAAAAGGGGGCAGAGAGAGTTAATGGTCATTTTGGGGTGAGTTCTGCCTTTCTTACATTCCATTATGTCCTCTTAAAAAAAAAAAGACTCTATTCTTAGAGAAATGCTCTTTCCCTTTGATGATAGAGGGGTCAAGTGTTTTTTTGTTTTGTTTTGTTTTTCTTTCTCTTCCCATTGATAACCCGAAGAAGCACCAATCTGTTTTAAAACCAATCTGTTTTAAAAATGGGAGTATCAACTGCCAATGACTTCTTATGGAGATAGTTGAATAGCCTATGAAACATCCCAATCTAATGTTCTATGTCTCTACAATTTTTTCCCTATATATTTTCTTTATTTAAAATACACTGAGGTGTAAGGTAAATGCTACTTCAGTTAAAGACTTTTTCTCTCAAACACAGTGAGAAGGAACAAAAATCCCATACTTTCTCTATAGGTTGGCTTCCCCATCAACTTCTTGCATTATTTGTCCCGAAGAAAACTGCAAAATGGTTCAAGAATTCTCTGTCACATGGGTCCATCTTCCCTGAGTCAAAGTGTATTCTAATTCTGTCCTGGCATCTATTTTCGTTACAGGTTTTCAGTGTCTTTACTCTGATGGAGCTTATTTCAATCTACTTTTAGCATTTCTTAAGAGCAGGAGCAAATGGGAGCAAATGATTGCGTGCTTTTCTGCTGTTTTAAAGGGAGCCAAGGGAGTCAGCACAATGAGTATTTACGTGGCAAGAGTTAGTGCTAGGCTAGGACTGAGCTAAA